GAGATATCACAAAAGTAGTCAGAGAAAATATTTTCAAGAGTCTCAACAGCAGTTTCTGTCTGTTTGCAATCCTTTCAACCTTTGAGTCTCTAAATCTGGGCAAATTCCCTATCTTCAATGGCCTATACTCAGAGGGAGATGTAAGTTTCTAAGATAGAAAAACAGAAAGGAGGCCATTTCGCACAGGAGAGAGGTAGACAGGATCCTATCAAAGGGAGAAGACAAAGGAGGAAGATTAAGACTGTAATCTCTGTCAGATTTTCTCCCTAAGAGCTACCATTGGAAGACCAAAGATGAATGACAGTGACTGATGGTGAATTGAGAAAAGACCGCCTCAGCTTTACAATGGTCTTTTAAGAGACATCAAGGCTACTACAGTGAGCACAAGAATTAAAAAAATCTTGGGTTAGGGTTGTAGCTCAGTGGTAGAGTGCACTACTTACCAGGCAATGAGGCCTTGGGTTTAATCCCTAATATCAAAACAAAACAAACTTTCCTCTAAGCTATACATATCCTTAATATGCACATTTCCGTATACACGTATAATGTATCCCAGTTTGGTTCATCCCCTCCAATGTCTCTTCCCCCTTCCCCTTCTTAAAATGACTTTGACAGGTTTCAGTGTTCCATATGCATACATGTATAGAAAATATATCAACCATATTCACCCTTCTTTACCTTCCCCTACTGCTAGTACCCTCTCCTTAATGTGACCTATTCTATATTCCTGTCTTTCATTGTTTAAGTGTCTACTCATTGTTCAGTGTGGCTTTGGTTTGGTATTTCACAATAAATATACTGTACTTTAACCAGTCTAACCCCCGCCCCATTACTTTTTCTTATAATACATACATATATATGTGTGTACATATATATATACATATATATACACACACACACATATATATATATAAATTTTTTTTGTTGGGACTGGGATTTGAACTAAGGATTTCATGCTTGCAAAGCAGGCACTCTACCACTTGGGCCACATCTACAGTCCAATTTGCTCTGGTTATTTTGGAGATAGGGTCTTGAGAACTATTTGCCTGACAGGATTTAAACTGCAATCCTCCCGATTTCAACCTCCCAAGTAGCTAAGATTACAGATATGAGCCACCAACATCCAGCTTACAAAGTATTTTTTAAATGTGTTTACTTATAAGTCATGGAACTTGCCTGAGTCTCTTTTAATTCCCTGAAATACACCCTACTAGACATCATCATGAGACAACAGCCAACAGTTGTAGGGCAGTGTGGCTGCCGGTGTCATGTACATTTGTCCAAAGGGCTAGACAGCACCTGGTGAGATAAGGCAGGACAAATGAAGGTATACAACTGTCACAGTAAGTGAAGTACCACCGCCCAGCTGCAGAAGCCCATCTCAGGTTGGCAAAACACACACACATGGACACACACACACACACCATATTGAGCAACTAACTGGGAGACAGACAATGGCTCCATTAGACCACTAAAAATAAAAAAAAGGAGGTGGTAGAGATAGGTGTTAAAAAGAGGGGCTAAGAATGGAAAAAAAGTACTTTTGTGTATAATCACAGAATTAGTGAATATGAAGTATAATGAAACGCTCTGGCAACTGGAAAAATACTGTGTTTTAACACTGAACAAGGTTACAAGCACCAATGGCTTGACAGTATTCCTCTCCTGTTGAATTATGAATTGAGATTCTCAGGGATCCAGAACTAAAAAGCTGGGACTCTCAGCAGTGTAGGTCCATACAAATTGGACTATTCTAGAAGAAACTGAAAAATGGCTAATTTATGAGCACTTTAAAGTAACATATTAGAAGAATAACCATTGTATAAGAGAGAAGGGGAAATTCTGCTTTGATAATTTGACAGTTCAAAATGAACATCCCATTTCCCCTAATTCAATCTTGGTTTCCTTTAGCTAAATGTTTCCTTTCTTTGCCACCCTCTCCAAAAACCAAATAGAGAAGAGCTTTTTAGAGCAAACTCACTGGTCCTAAATATAACTGTAGCTAGACAAAAGATCTTTCTCATAGGCATGAACAATCTTCCAGGTAGCTGTGCACTGCTCCCTGCAGTGAGATGAGCATCTGTTTAACAGAGATGGGATCTGATGTGTTTAACTGGGATCCTGACTGTAGAAAAAAGGCAGTGCCTGAATTCCACGAAGGCTGCAAGGCTCTCTGTGGCTCAACATCAAGTCGTGCTATACTTAGAACCACTGGGGTCTATTTCAGCTCTACATCAAAACCACTGGAAAAGAAAGCAGATCTGGAGAAACACTGGCTAAGGAAGCTTAAACAACCACTTGAAACAGCATGAGAAGTCAAGAGAATTCCTCAAGAAGAGTAAGAATCTGTATTTTATCTGCCAAGGTAAAGCTGGTTTGGTGTTGCAATTCCAGTCACCTCCTCTATTGTGACCTCAGTTTGTGTGCTTAGACATATCAGGAACAAGTCCTGGAGCTTTTAGTACTGAGATACATGTTCAAGTGTGCACTTGGGGAACAGCTTGCCACTTTCCTCCCTGTGGCTTTCTTGTATCACTTCAACTCATGGACAAAAGGAAACCAACATCAGAAATTTAAATCAGCCAAATAATCTGCCTCTCCTGCAGATGGCTTTCTTCACATTCCAAGATTATAAACTAAAATGGGAGAGAAAAATCACCATCTGACTTAAGCAGTCATTTCAGCTATTTAACGTGTATTTTAAGCTATAGGTCACAGTGTAACAGGTCACACAATCAATTTAGTGGGTTGCTACTATCATTTTTTCTTAAATTAAAGTCCAATAGAGAAGGAAATATCAGTGTGTATGGCAGGAAAAGAAAGTATTGTTTCATGAGACTTTTACTTCAAATGTATTTTTGTATATATGTTTTGGTTCCTGATAGAAAATAGGTTTCTTTTTAATTTCTTAAAATAAATTTTATTATGCATACTTGAGGTTTACCACACAATGTTATGAGATACATGCAGATAGTGAAATGGTTACTATAGTAAAGCAAATCAACACATCTGTCACAGCACATAAATCCTTTTGTGATAAGAACAGCTAAAATCTAGTTACTTAACAAAAATCCCAAATAAAATTTTGTTGAAAATTAGCTCTCTACATTTGTTTATCCTATATATCTGTTACTTTGTATCCTTTGACTCTATCTCCCCATTTTCTTCTCACAACCATAACCCTTCTCTCTTCCCCCAAAACAAGTTTTTATCCTGTATCTCTGTATATTTGAGCTTTTCTTTTTAAGACTCCGTATATAAGTGCAATCATACAGTATTTTTCCTTTCCTTCTCTGGATTACTTCACTTAACATAATGTTCTCCACGTCTACCCATGTTGTGGCAAATGGCAAGATGAATTAAAATCTAAAAACATCCAAAAACTCCTGAGCAATCAGAACCAGGAAGGAACTAGACTAAGGCAGTACTCTACAGAAAGTCTCTGTATAGATCAAACACTGATGCACTGTGCAGAAGCTCAGAGGTCAAATGAACAGGCCTCAGTCAATAAGTAAGGATCACTTGTGCCAGGAATGGTGGTCCACAACTGTAATCTCAGCACTTAGGAGATTGAGGCAGAAGGACCACAAGCTCCAGGCCAGCCTGAGCTATGTAGGAGACCTTGTCTTAAAAAAAAAAAAAAAAAAAGTAAATAAAAATAAAAATAATAAAAATAAATGAATATTATGGTCAGAGCTATAAAGATTTATCTAAGAATTCTCACATTGTCTTGGAGCTAGGAAGTATGAACTCTCAATGTGAACAGAGGAAATTCACTAAAATGAGCTCAGAGAAAACAGGGCTTGTTACATAGCCCCCTCTAGGGCAAAAGATAAAAGACATGGACTGTGGCCAAGTGCCAGTGGCTCACGCCTGTAATCCCAGCTACTCAGGAAGCAGAGATCAGGAGGACTGTGGCTCGAAGTCAGGCTGGGCAAATAGTTTGTGAGACCCTATCTCAAAAAAAAAAAAAAAACCTGCCACAAAACAGGACTGGTCGAGTGGCTCATGGTGTAGGCCCTGAGTTCAAACCCCAGTACCACAAAAAGAAACAAACCAAAAAAGATATGGACTGTGGGAGGAAGAAGCCAGTTTCTACTTCTAGAGTATCACAGGCCACGGCCACAACCAAAGGACTCATTCACTGACTGAGAGACCAAGACTCTTAAAAGAGTCTTAAAATGTGTAGAAGTCAGAAGGAAGAAGAAACCACTCTCCTGAGTCCTGCCAAATTAGCTAGTCCTTTCTGGCACAACCAAGGTGATGGTCTCTGCATTCTGAGCATGACCATGCTCTTTTATTCCTATCCACTCCTGACCCTTAAAAGTCACATCCTTTGTCTATCCCATTCCGTCTAGTTAGATGGCCTAGTCCTAGGTATTCAGTACCAAAGGAACACAGAACAGAAGACTCCTTTAGGGCAAGCCGAATACTGGAGAGACACTATGATCTCTTAGGAGACCACCACAACACCTGCACTGCCTTGGGAGTTTACTTCAAAAGAGAAGCCAAGATATTCTTCAAATAACAGGGCTGCTGTGCCTCCTCACACAGAGTCAGACCTGGGCTCTTTATAAGGAGGATTATGGTCCAGGCTGGCTTGGGCAATAAGTGAAACCCTATCTCCAGAACAGAAAGGACTGGAGGCAAGGCTCAAGTGCCTGCTTAGCAAAAGCCCTAAGTTCAAACCCCACTACTGAAAAAAAAAAAAAAAACAACAAGATGCAATTATTATATATTTCTTTCCTTTTGGACTAGGAGACAAGGTGGCAAGGAGACAAGAACATTACCCAGTGCTTTGCAGCATGGTGGACAGAAGCAAGCATAAGCACTGCTATTGCCTTGTCTGTTTTCAACTTCCCAGATTATGTTCCACTCACTTCACAAGCTACTACTCAGAGCCCAGAGTACATATCGCCAAGCCACATTTTCATAAAGTCAAAATAAAAGAAAAGCTGGAACAGATGTATACAATTGGTATATAAGTATCAGATTGGTACCTGTAAGAGGGCATGGTGCATTGTCACCTCCAGTTCAGCTAAAACATGAGCAGTGTCCTCACTGTCCTCTTGGACCTCCAAGTCCTCCTCAGGGATAGTCTCCCAGTTGCCCTGATGAGCAGCCAGTGTGTGCAATAGTTCATACTGTCCAGGGAGTGCCAGGCTGACCCGAGTCTGAGTCCCATAGATGAAGTGGAGGCGCCGAAGCTTACAGTTCTTTTCACTGTCCAGCTTGCTGGTGGGAAGCACCTGCACCCCCAACAGCTGGTTCAACAACTGACACTTGACATTACAGTCCTGGCCGAGGATCAATATGCAAGGGAGGCAGTCCACAATCTGCTGGAGGTACTTCTCTTCCTTAGGTGGGAAGGAAATGCAACTCAGCTGGCCTGGTGGGAGAAGGGGAATGTGGGAGGAGAAAGAAGAGAAGAGTGAGGAGGGGTAGAGACTCACATACAGACTCCATTAGGATGTCAGGGTTATAGAGAAAAAATTTCCAAGTCAGTTACAAGAAGTATCAGGAAAACATCCCAGTCAGAAAAGTTTCTCCAATGAGCTGGTGGAGTGGCTCAAGTAGTAGAGTGCCTGCCTAGCAAGTGTGAGACCCTGAGTTCAAACCTCAGTGCTGCCAAAAAGAAAAGGTTTTTTCAATTATCAGCTAGAGTTCTCCTCCTCATGGACGAGATGTTATTTCTGCTCAGAAAGGTGGCAGTGACCTATCTTCCCTCTACCTCCTTTTGCATCCAGTGTAGGAGTTTATAAGGAGTTTACAAGGATTCCATCACAAATGTAGGATCATTAAAATGACAATCACTAGGACAAGAGTTTAAGGAGAAACTGTATCTGAATGTGTCAAAATTAAAACCCTCCTTCTGACAGAAGCCTCAAACTTGAACCACATAGTCCTTTTAAACTTCTCAACCATACACAGTTTTAGCATAAGTTCTTCTCACCATGTATTTTATAACTAACTGTATGGGTCATCTGTATATACACATACACTGAAATTAAGAGCTTTTCAAGACTTGCATAAGTTCTATAGTGTTTTCTAGTTCAACTCTCTGATAGCTGGTGAGAGCATCCCAGCTGCCAACTCAACTTTTAAAAAAAATACTGGGTGCTCAATTAAGATCTATACCGCCTAATCAAGTTATATTCCTCCTGTTTGTGAATGACAAGACTCTGAGTAAGACAAAGGGGAAGAACTGCCCAGTACAATAAAAGCATAGGCAAATCTAGGAAGAGATGCAATCTATTTCAAAAATATTCTCCTTTGAGGACAACCATCACTAACCTACCTAAATGGCTAACTTACTCAGATAGATTTAAATAAGAGAGAACAAAAAGCTCCCTAAAGCATGAGAACCTGTTTGGGAAAAAACCTAAAGCTGGTTTCCTGAAACTATCAGAGTCTGAATTTACCAGTCTCCCACTTCTTCAGCCCCAGGGCCTACTTACATTTAAGATTCAGGAAGGCCAATCTTGAGACAAACACACACATTATAGTTAAAGTTTTGGGTGGTACTACTAACTGAAATACTATTCACTTTAGTCACTTAACTATCAACCACATTAAACGACTTGTAGACTGATTGTTTTGCTCATGTAATTGAAGCAAGAGGCCTGATTCATTTAAAAGGTGGCTGTACTTCAGAATGTACCTACCCTGTGGACTATCTCAAATCCTGAAGTTTCCTTCACTTCCACAAGTGGCACCTCCAAAAAGGTTAAAGAGGTCTGTATTCACCTGGACCCCTCTCTGCATTTCATTATAGCCCTTCCTTTCATATCTGTCTATGAATGTATCACACTGACCCAAGCATACACAGCAGCAACACCAGGCACTGAAACTAAGAAATGTACTCTCCTGGGAAAGAGATGGGCTCCTTTGAAAAGACAAAGAGCATTCACTGAGTGCCTACTTCTGTGCAAAGTATTTAATAAGCACAAGAGTGAAACACCAGCCTACTGGTCTAATCCTAACACAAGGGGGCACAACTAATTGTTTGTGTGACCACTTAGCAAGTAGCAATGGGCAAGTCCTGAGTCCCTTTGTACCTTGTTCACAATTACACTACACTTATCAGTTTATTCTAATTATGTTTATAATTATCAAATGCATAAAAACATCCTGTTTGTTTCCTCAGCACTTAACACAATGACGACACACAGTGCTTAAAATTATGCATTTGTTCTGTTTAAGAATCCCTTTTTTATGGACATTTGTCTACAGAAAACAACAAGAAAATCCACTAGGTATTTCAAACAGCACAGTATCATGATGAATAATACAAGGGGAACTATCATTCATAAAAATCTCCCTTCTCTCAACATGGAGAGTAGACAAAAGAACAGAATTGCATAATTTAACACCATAGCCCTGAACAGTAAGAAGTCCAGTCTTCTCTTCACTCTCATTTTTAGCTCTTTTCCCAGTCTTCCCAGATTCTCACATAAGAGTCTAAGTATCAATTCATACTGACAACTTTTAAATTCCTACAAAAGTTGTTTTATAATAAAAGCCTAAATGAGCTTTGTTACTGCTACTACTAAAAGTGGATAACAGAGAAGAAAACCAACTGAATTACTTTTCAGGACCAGAGAGAGAGGCCTCAACATCTCTAAGACAGAGTCAGGGACCGGAAAGCCAATAAAACATGCTGCAGCAGTAAAACCACAGCAGACACACCCCATTATTCAGCTGACCCAAATTATCACCTCTCCTGCTCCATCTCTCCTACAAAAACAGCCACTACAAATAAACCTGCTGCTGCCAAAGCAACCAAGGACCAGTGCAATGGAAAGGAGACTCAAGTAGAGCCCAGTTCTAGTTCTCCCCAGGCAACTCTGTGCAAGGGTTCTACCTACAGCCTAGGACACTGAAGAAAGGTCTTCACGATGGACATTGCTATTTATCTGTTTTTTAATACATCACTATCCAAGCTCTTTGCTTCTCCCTCAAATCTTTACCATCTTTACTGATCTCCAATGTGTAAGATTTGAACAATGAAAGAAATGAAGCTGAAAGCAGATGGTTATACGCCCTCCTCCACTGGGCACACAGCTCAATGACATGGAGTGCACAATGGGAATAGCACTAGAGTTAGGGCAGTTTCTGACCCCAGGCTTCACCACCGACTAGCTCTGTGACCTTGGCAGTCCACTTGCCCTTGTTAAGCATTGAGTTACTTATCTATAAAATAAGGGAGTTAGAGTGGATCATCTTTAACATTCTCTTCAGTTCTAAAGTTCTAAGACACTATCAGTTTTAACTGTTGGAAGAGTAAGGACATAAGGGAGGTGGGAGGTTGGTCTGGCTGTTTTTGTTTTAAATTGTATGTGAATTTAATTATGCAAGCTCATCCTGGACTTCTGTAACTATAGATCAAAAAGCTGACTGAACTAGCCAGGAGCGCTAAGGACCTAGAATGCAGTCTTAACAGCTCTCTAAAGAAGAGATTAAAAACTGTAGATTGACAGTAGGAGGGAAGAAGGAAATCTGTTTCAGAGCTGGAGCAGCTGCCTCACTGACAGTTAAAGGACTTCTGAGTTAATAGGGTTTTCTAATGTAATTAATACAACGGCATTTGCATATGGACTGCCAGAAGGTAACAGCATGGCTTCTCAGCTGGCACCTATTAACCCTGCCAACCCTGGCTGCAGGAAAATTCACATCAAACTAAGTTTCTTTTTCTCTTTTCTTTTCTTTTCTTGGTGGTGGTTTTCAAATACAGTCTATCTTGACTGAGGCTACTTCTAAACAAAGGTTTCAAGTTAGGAGGAAGAAAAGAGCAACTAAGGGAGAAACCATTTTATTTGTTCTAGGTACAGTTAGTGAACACTTTCTGTGCATTGGTCATTTTATTTCCTTCATCTCATTTAATGCTCTGGATTCCTCCAGACAAGGACCTCTATCCTCGTTTAAAAATTTGGAAACAGAAGCTTAAAAAATAAAGTCAAAATAGCACAGATCTCTCCACTTATCTAAGCAGATAAAAGGTGAAACAGGGTGTGCAGGAGCTGCACCTGGGCCTCAGAGAGCCAGGTTAATACTGAGCAGTAGACAATGCCCCCCACTACAATGTTTCCCAGTCTTGGGCCAAACACGAAATGTATTATTAATTGTAGGACTCCAACATTCACAGCCCCTATGAAAGTTGCCCCAAACCATGAGGAATAAAAGCTGGGGAGAAAAGCACTAGCAGTTGTACACTCTGAGACTCTTCATTTTGGAATCTTCATGAAGGGGAATGCACTCAAGCCAAAGCTCTTGTTGGAAGCTGAAAGTCAAGCTGGCAGAAGTGTCCCTAAAGTAACCCTACACAGTGGCTCTGGTAAGATCTCTTAACAGTTTTTAAGAAGTAGATTGTCCTGGTTCCTAGGAAGAGAGAGACAGCCTCCCTAGTAGCCCAGACCCTGTAGCAGCCATGTGCAAAGATGAGAAGGCACTCAGAGCCTGCTGACAAGTTCCTTTCAGGGTGAAACTGCTCAGAAGGCTGAGCATACTATAGAGGAAACAGAAATGCAGCTGACAGTTGAGGCTGTAATTTATGGGATACAGAAATGGAAGCAGTTCTTCAAAGGAACCCAAACCCCTGCTTCAGAGGGTATAGATTGTTATCTGGAAGGAAGCACATTAACATTAATCATTCTTAGAGCCATTAAGAATGATTCAAAAGAGAGCTGGGGGCATGGCTCAAGTGCTAGAGCACCTGCCTAGCAAAAGCCCTGAGTTCCAACCCCAGTACCAACAAAAAAAGAAAAAAGAATTCAAAGGTAGGGATGTGGTGAAAGGACACTAGAACCAGCCTGAAGGAGTCTCACTGACCAAACTGGGAACAATTTATGCATAACAATAAAAATGATATTAAGAGTTACAATCCAATGAAAAATTCAAAATTCCACACTGATATAAATAAGGGAAAAGGAAAATTCTTCTTTACAGCAAAATACCAACTAAGTAAATAAATACTAGAATGAATGAGGTGGGTGGGAATTGTCAATGAATGCTAGGTCTAATGGAAGGACATTTTTTGAGGAATAAGGTATCAGTGAAATCTCAGAGCAGCTCCCCACGAATGACTAATCAAGTATAAAGGGGAAACAGTGAATTTAAGATAAGGAAACCTAGAAGACACCCACCCAACTAGCAATCAAGCTTAACATCTGGGGGGGGGGCAGTAGGATTGTGCTATTGACATTATTTCCTCTGTGGGGTAGCATGTATCACATCATTTTTCTGCCTACTCCAGTTGAGGACTCACAGCCATGAGGAAACAACACGTAGATCCAGGTTAAGGGTCACCCTACAGAATATAAGCTACTTTTTAAACTTGTCAAAGACATGAATGTCAGGGAAAGGCCAAGGAACTAACTCAGGTTAAGGAAG